GGAGTGGTAGCCACAGTGGCTTTCATGACGACACTGTCCACATGTCCACATTGACGTGACAGATTGTCAGCACTGCTATGGATGACAAGCTCTCGCCACCAAGCGGAATGCTGAGCAACCAGCAATTGGTCTCTCTCGACCAACAACTGTTCCTTATTGAGCAACCATCATTACATTAATTATTCGTTCCACGTATCCTTTATGGAACCGTGCAGGAGTGTGTTGGAGGTTGTATTACAGACACCTCATACAAATTAGTCGTTTATCCCAATCTAGTTGATAGGGGATATCTATATCTATCTCTAGTTACATACATGGGGAGTTTAACTGATCTATATGGTCACCCCCTTCACTATATCCTTTGAAGTTGAATCAATCCCAGAAAACATGGAGAAAGATCACTTTCTTGGAAATAGCTTAACAGTAAAACAGTATTTTACCTTTACTAAGCTAGAGTGTTACTAGAAACCAACATGGAGTGGAGAGCTCTGCTTGGAGCCTCACTCCTCTGACAGTGGAATGGGCCAGCCACAAAGCTGGCTGCCGCTGCTATTCAATCTCCACAGCAATGATTGAACAACTCACTCTTTGCCTTGGCACAATCCACACAGGAAGGCTTCAACTGTGGGGAAACTAGTGCTACTGAGGCTGTATCTGGTCAACTATCCTTTCATTACTTCTTCTTCTTTAAACTATGCTAAAATCAACTGAACACAAAATCCTCGACAGCACTCAGCCATGCAGCTTTGGATCTCTTGCATCTCATTTGGCTGGTGCTGGCAAGCAACTTTCTATATTGTCTTGGCTGAAGAACTTGCATCATCCTTGGGTATATAGAGTTCCTCAGCTATTTCTGTATTGCCAGATGGCTGCACTGCTGACCCTACTGTTGGAGTATACAGATGTCACAGCGATTCTTCCACCTGGCTAAACCAGCACAGCTGCTTCGCACCACAATGGGAGTTCACGTGGATTTCCACTCATCGGAGCTTAAGGCCCAACTTCACTCCCAATGTCATGTACAGCGATACCTGGCCATGCAAGAACCAATACTGGTCCCTGCTGCTCAAACGAGATATTAAAGGTCGACTTGGCCTTTTCCATTTTATTCAGAGATTTCTCCGTACCCTCAGAAAGACACATCCTGATTACTCCATGGCAGTTGGCATGTTGCTGAATGCGATCTACCAGTACAATCGCGCGGATTTAGAGGCTCTTCTCACAGCGCTGAAGGAGGGACGTCTGTCGAACAACAACAAAAAGTTCACAGGAGCGTTCCTCAATCGTGCATGAAACCGACCCTAAAATAGAGTCGGATTTAGGGTCGGATTCCCTTTAGGGTCGGGTTTCGAAACCGACCCTAAAAATAGGGACGTTTTCTGAAAAATAGGGACGGTTTCTGAAAAACCGTCCCTAATTTAGGGTCGGGTTTCGTTTTTGGGTCGGGTTTGAAAAACGTCCCTAAATAGAAACGGGACTGCCTGGTAAATACATTGAAAACGCACCAATATTAGGGTCGGGTTTCGAAACTGACCCTAAAAATGGGGACGTTTTCTGAAAAATAGGGACGGTTTCTGAAAAACCGTCCCTAATTTAGGGTCGGGTTTCGTTTTAGGGTCGGGTTTTGAAACCATCCCTATATTTAGGGACGGATTCCCCCAAACCGACCCTAAATTAGGGTCGGATTTAAAGTCATGCACGATTGAGGAACGCTCCAGATGAGGAAATTGCAGACTTGCGAGCCACTTACATCTTTCGAAAACGGTATGGAAAGTACCTGAGAAAAGAAATCAGACAGCCTGAAATACTGCGTTCCAAATTGGAAGACTGGTTTCACAGGTTCAAATGCACAAGCAGTGGTGAGTCGAGGGAGCCAGGAGGTCGCTTGGATCCAAGAACACAACAGCCACTGTTCACCTTCGAAACCAAAACGGCTTGGTTGAATTGCAAGGAGAAGGCAGAATACCTTCAAGATCCGCTTCCCTTGGATGATATGTATGAGATTATTCCTCCAAGTCCAAAGTCACCCCACCAACTGAATGAATACCTCTCAAGACGCGGTGAATCGTCGCTGGAATCATTCCATGGGCTTCTTGCTCACTTTGCCAACAGCGGAATGCGGAGCACTCTAGCAGACAATCTCAACTTGACTGGTACGGCAAGATTTAACCTTTCGATTCGGCACAAGCTCTTGCTGAGACGCAGCACTGACACCGAAAGAATCAAAATGCCAGTATATTGGGAGGGCGTCGTTGATTTCTTTAATCACTCCGAACTCTCATGGATTAACAAACTCGCGGTGCAAGTGGGTGCACCACCACCATTCCTCAATGTAGAGCCTCTGCAAGAAGATCCTGGAGAGAGATTCTTTTCAGAATACATTATTTGGATGAATGAAGCAAAGCCAACTTACGATTTGCAAGATCGGTGTTTGTGTGATCTTTGCCATGTTACACTACAAGTGCACCAACGCGACCAAATTCAAAATGATGGCAATGGCGATGAACATCCACCGCGTCAGCCCGCTTCCCCATCGCCAACGACAACAACGGCTACTACAGCCGTAGCCATACCAGTACCCAAACAACAACAACAACAACAACCACAACAACAACAATACGTACCCGTACCTTCACCAGCAAATCCATCGCCGATGGCGCACCCACAGTTCCAACAATATCAACCGTTCATGTATCACCCTGCTTTCGTCGCTCAGTGGATGGCAGCTGCCGCTGCTATGACAACAAACACAACAACAACAACAACACAACAACAAACAACAACAACAACAACAAACAAACAACACACAACAACAACAACAACAACAACAACAACAACAACAACAACAACAACAACAACAACAACAACAACAACAACAACAACAACAACAACAACAACAACAACAACAAACAACAACAACAACAACAACAACAACAAACAACAACAACAACAACAACAACAACAACAACAACAACAACAACAACAACAACAACAACAACAAAACAACACAACAACAACAACAACAAACAACAAAACAACAACAACAACAACAACAACAACAACAACAACAACAACAACAACAACAACAACAACAACAACAACAACAACAACAACAACAACAACAACAACAACAACAACAACAACAACAACAACAACAACAACAAACAACAACAAACAACCAACACAACAACCAACAACCAACAACAACAGCAACCCAGCACCGACACAACCGACTAGTTATTACTGCTGTGACAAGGCTCGAGCGCATGCTAATGCCATTCCCCGGAGGAGAGGTCGTCGTCCTCATGACTCCTGGTGCCGAGGTTTTAACATAGCTTAGTGTAAGACCGTAACAAGTAAGGAAAGAAAAAATTCGAAAGGTTTCAAATCAGATGCTTTGCTCTTTAAGTCTAGCCAGTACCACTTCGGAGCTGTTTGTGTCATTTTCGTGTCCATTCTATGCGCATGCCGACCCTCCACAGGGGATAAAATGAACTTTATTTATAGAGATGACCAAGGGAATGCCTATCGCCCTTTTCCTCTATGTAATATTCTGGGATGACGTAATCAAACTGACATCCGTCAATGAGAATCCGGAATCTAGCCACTAACCCTCTCCTCTTTTTTCTCTCCTCCTCCCCCTTTTTCTCTGCCTAACCCCCCCTAAAAATTTTGATAAATATGGTTGTAGGATCAGGCAGTGTCAGGATGATCCTTCCCAGAAACTGAAAAGCGCACAGCACTGAGACGCCTGTCAAGTTCAAGATGGTGTCCCCTGAGGTGTGCTTGCATCTCCTGTTCAGCGATTAGGGCACTGTCTACCGAAGCTACTAAAGGCGCTCTTAAACCAAAAATCGTCGTTTAGTCGAAAGTTTAGTATTTTCGGCAGTGTCTACCCATGCTACTAAAGCTATTTTCGACTAAACTCGTTAGTCAAAGGTCGTCGTTTTTGACTAACGGGAGGCTCTTTAGTGAAAATCGCTTACCAACACAAAAGGCTTGACTAACAGTCTTTTAAGCAGCAGCAGCAGCAACAGCAGCAACAGCAGCAACAGCAGCAACAGCAGCAACAGCAGCAACAGCAGCAACAGCAGCAACAGCAGCAACAAGCCAACCAACCAACCAACTACTTGCCTCTTGTTATCTGTATCTCTACCGCTTATTATCCTCACTTTTACTATTCAGCACCTCTATGGATTCCTCTAGCAGCAGTTCGGAAGAGGATCAGGACGCAATCGGCAGACTGACTTCCATCATCAGTAGTAGTAGTAGCAGAGGCATCATCTCGAGAGGCCATGGTGCTGATCAATAGAGTCAAAAGCAACGACAAAGGGAGTGGAATAGAGCACAACAACAACAGGAATAATGACTGAACGAATTTTAGTCGAACCGTTAGGCGTGTTTCGGTAGATACTGATCAGTCTAAAATTTTCGACAAAACTCACGACTAACGATTAGTGTGCATGGTTAGTCGAAACACGGTAGACACTGACGATCTTAAAGCTTTTCGACTAAACACACGATTAAATACCAGTCTTAAACAATCTTTAAGCGCGCGTTTAGTCACCTCCGGTAGACAGTGCCCTCACCCTTGCCGACCTCATTCACACCCACGCTGCTACTAGTAGCTAGACTAGTGGATACGATAGCCTCAGAAGACACCTGCTCGTCACAAGCCAACTTTACCATGTCGTCCACCGAAGAGCCCAATCGCAAGAAGCCAAAGCTGTCGCCTGACTTTGTCGAAGACGGCTCGAGCCAAGCGGAAGAACGGCACCCGAAGGAAGGATTCCGCCGAGACCATCCACACGCCTCCAGCTGAAAATTCCAACAAGGCATCCAGTACTGATCCATCCGTCCGGACAAGTACAAGAGCGCCCTCCTGGATTGCAAGGATGCCCTTGCACAAATGGAACAAGCTGGCGACCATCAACGGGCGGAGCAATGCCGCAAGGAAATGGCAGCGGAGATGACCGAGCATGTGATTTCTCCAGCTCAATTCTTTCGCTATAATCTCCCCGAACGCTTTGAGCGAGAAAGCGACTATAATGAGCTGAACCAGCAGTTGGAAGAAATGGATCACGCAGTCAAGAAAACACACGAGGAACGAAACGCCAGACGCAAGGAGGCCTTCTCGGTGCTTCTGAACCAAAAGGAGCTTTGGATTGAAGACATCTTTTCCTTCTTGGGAATGGGACACTATGCTTTTGTGGCTCCTGTCAGCAAACGCATCAGTCGGACCTTCTACTCTGCGGCGTTCCACAATCTGGCATGTGCAGAAATTTGGAAGAGAGACAACGCAGAAGACAAAACCCCACTGTCACCTGAGGTTTGTAGAGCCGTTGCCGGGGCTGGAAGTATCGCTGTTCTTCAATGGGCTCTTGCGAATGGATTCTCATTGGGGGGCGACTCGAATCGCTGGATCTGTACTGCTGCTGCCCAACACGGGCATTTGCATGTTCTAAAATGGTTGCATGAAGAAAAGGGATGCCCTTTGAATGAATATGTATGGAAATTTGCTGCTCGAGGTGGACAGCTTGCAGTATTGAAATGGCTGCATTCGAAGAAGCAAGAGGATCAGCGATGGATCGATATTTGGTGCGCTGATGAGGCCCAGGCAGGGGGTCACGATAAAGTGATTCGGTGGTTACGTGACATCAAGGATGCCCCATAGTAACTGGATGGTTGTCGATTTGGGGTTAACCTGGCCCATGTGCCAGTGCCGGTGTCGGGTTCACGAGGTTTCTAGAATATACCAACACAGAAGTCATCAATTGAGTAGTAAAAGACTAAAACATCCACCCGTAGAAACCCAGATCTGATCGTTGCGTTGTTGCTCGTGCGTTCTCTTCATCCAACAAATTCCGTGGAGCAGAGGGAGCTTCGTGTTAGCAGCATTCTTCGTCTTTTGCTACGGTCAGCAAGCAGGCAAATCATCGATGGAAGGAACACTACTGGAAGAATATCCAGAGGAACCAAGCTTTCGGTGTCTCGTTTGCAGAATTCTACAACTGGAAGGAAGTGTTCACTTGCCCGTGCCCGGAACAACACATCTGGACCAACAGCAGGCCCGAATCCTGGACTTAAGCCGTGCTTGTCACCAGCACCCAACCCATGGCCAGGACAGGCAAGCCCGCCCCATAAGCTACCTTACACCTGGTCCGACCAGCCAGTATCGGTATTGGAGGCTCCGCACCCGCACTAACCTCCTCTCAGGACTGGACATCAAGACCCAGGCGACACTCCTGGTCCAAAACTGGACCATCCGCCAGACTCACTCCTGGACAATATCAACGCCATCTCCCAGACCAATTCCTTCCTGGACCGTCCTGACCAACTCCTGGACCTGCACCTACTACTAACCCAGCCATCAAGCCCATCACTCAGACCATGGACATCACCAGGACCCCACAAACTGGCACGTGGAGATTAGATTGAATCAAGCTAAAAATGGGTAGTTAAGGTAAACATCCGGGGTTGAAGCATGTAATTGCTAATATTGTTTAAAAAAACTATATTTGATGAAACATTACCGCATCTACATGTCCAAAATCCAAAGCAGTTCTTGGAACCCGGAGCTTCGCACTGAAACTTGCACAGTCGCGACCCAAGGAATGTTCTACGCAAGACTGCCAGCAAGACAGCTTTGGAATTGAGGTAGCTGCGGTAAAACAACTATTTCTTCAGAGTAGAATATGTCTTTAACCTTATAATTACCGCGAGTACCGTTCCAAAGCTTTCTTCCAGAAGATACGGCAGTCATTTGGAACGAAAGATCGATGACCATCGCATTGGCCATTCGATCCAGATCCTTGGAGTTCGCTTGGATGTGAGAGATCGCTTGTGAGAAAGATTTGTTCACATTATTATCGATCGTGCCCACACGTCCTCACCACCACAAACTCAAAATTAGCTGAGTGATAATAAAAACCATTGTCCACCATGAAGTTCTCTCTTTTTGCCTTGAGCCTGCTGGCCTCCGCCTCTGCCATTGAGTTGACGGCTGACAACTATGACGAGATGACGGCTGGAAAGACCGTGTTCCTCAAGTTTTTCGCCCCTTGGTACGTCCATAGCTAAAGTAGATACCAGGGTACCAGTTAGTGGAGAGGCGTCTGTCCTGGTGTTTCTAATCGGATCCTCTTTTTTGATTATTATTTTGTTAGGTGCGGCCACTGCAAGAAACTCAAGCCCGACTGGGACAAGCTCATGGACGAGTTTAATGACTCGACGACCCAATTGGTGGCGGACGTGGACTGTACCGCGGAAGGCAAACCTCTCTGCGACGCCAATGGCGTGCGTGGATACCCCACCCTCAAGTGGGGAGATCCGGCGGCCTTGGAAGACTACCAGGGTGGACGCGATCTCAAGACGTTGAAGACGTTTGTCAAGGACAAGTTGGTGCCCATGTGCTCTCCTGCCAACCTCGACTTGTGCGATGACGACAAAAAGGCCGAAATCAAGAAATTCATGGACATGTCCGATGACGATCTCGATAAACTCGTCGAAGGCAAGGAAAAGGAAATGGCCGACGCTGAAGCTGAATTCAAGACTTTTGTCGAAGGACTCCAGGAGACGTACCAGGAGGGTATGAAGAAGAAGGATGACACCCTCGATGCCATCAAGGAATCCGGATTGGGACTCATGAAGGCGGTCAAGATCGCCAAGAAGAAAAAGGGAGGCAAGGATGAGTTGTGAGTTCCTTGTACTACCCGTACGACTACTATATGTACATGTACTTTTCGGTGGAAAAGTACGTTTGTTTGGACTGATGGGCTGGGAATCCGGAGTTCTTCACTAAACGGGAAGAATGGCAGTCGGATTCTGGGGTTGGAGCTTGGAGGAAACAACAATCTGCAGTATGCATCTATGACGTTGTATGCAAAGGTGTTTGGACCTTGCATACGGCTGAGAAAGGCAATCACTGATAATGATTGCGCTGCTACTACTAGTAGAGTCATGTTTCAGGCGGCACCAACTCCTCGGATTGGCTACTTTGATTTCAGTTTATTAATGGTCCGGATTCTTATTAGTGATTCAGTTATCGTGTTACCTTTTATCTATTGTTTGTTCCTTTCTCATACTTTGTAGCTGGACTCAGCTACTCGTGTAGCTGGCTAATTGGACCTCCGTGCTGCAACTTCGTTCTCGTCCCGCCTTGCAACAGAAAGAAAAACTGTTGTCGCATTCACAGGGACCCCATTCCTGCGCAAGCTCACGGGTACACTGCCCTAACCACTACGATCGGGCCATTCGCTTTGATAGGCTGGAGACAGCAATCTTACGTCTGCCTCGCCAACTCCCAGGTTAGCATTTGAAGCCTACGTACAAATATTGAATCTTGCATACCGCACAAGAGGAACAAGCCTTCAACTATTTGGTTCTTCTGAATGGATGAACAGATCAGCTAGTCTACGGTATTTAAAAAAAGGTGCATGTGAGTTTTTAGAGGCAGCGATAGCCCGGTAGCTAGCTAGCAATACTTAGGTTGGATCTCTACGAGGTACAGCGTACCATACGGCGGCCAATCTTTAGCAAACATTGAGCCTATTTCAGGCGACGGGTAGAGCTAGTTTGCGTTCACCAGCAAGAGATAGGGAGCAGAAATCGGCCTTGCTGCTTTGGTTTGGGGCATTTTACTGTCAATTGCCAGGAAGCCGGCAACATCATCATATTCCACATACCCTCGTTCAACTCCTCCAAGATAAGCAAAAATGAGCTGTGCTTCTATCAACCCAGGAGCGGAAATAATGACTCCTTCCTCTGCACAAATCTCATTCTTGGTGTCCAGAATGTCTTGATATACCAAGTGATCATTGTCATCAGCTCGGTCCAACAGTTTGGCTAGTGTACTCTCCAATCGTGTTGCTGAGACACCATTTTCGCCAAGGCCATTCTCAAAGGTAAATCCACATTCATGCGAGACCGGCGGAGCTTCCCAGAGGCGTTCCAAGTCCACTACACTTGGCTTGAAAGGATTGAGATTGGAGAGAGAGAATTCTTCTGTAAGGCATTGGCCAGCAGAGACAGTGTCAATGACAGGCCCACATGCTGTTGTTGTGTCACATCCAAAATCATTAGCTGCTCGCTTGAGGTCTCTATTCTCAATGATTTGTTCTCCACTTTCTTGTTCTACTTCATCAAGTCTTCCTGATCGCTCTAGCATTCGCAAGAATGGACAGAGAATCAATGGATTGCCCTCTCGTTCCGTAGTTTCGAGAGCTGGATAGGCAGCCAACAGCTCTTCACTACTGGGAGCATCAAAGAAAGCATTTGCGCTTGAAAGAGACAAGGCAACCCCAAGGGCAATGGTGGTAGCAGTTGTGATGGACAGCTTCATTCTCTTTGATAGTTTTAGTAATGGGCAGTGAAATGGTTTATGGGCCTTCTTGTGAGATACTAGTAGCTGAAGATCCTTTCAGACTGGCTAGCTAGACGCTAGTAGACTACTAGTACATGTACTAGCACTAGCTAGCTAGTACAGTACTCTAGCTAGAGTAGTGCTCCCATCACGACCCCCTCCCTCGCGGGTCCGGGGTGAGTGAGTCACACACGCCGCCATACGTCAACCATATTTGCGATGATTAGCGTAGATGGGGTAATCATCTGTTTTGAGACACTCATACGTTTCCAAAACTACCTGGCTAGCTGGCAAGTTGCCTAGCTGGCCAAAGCCGCTCACGATCTCGCTGGTTGTTCAACCTGCGGTGCAAGCCCTTTGAGCGCAACACTCAAGCCCACCATGTCCACCATGCCCACCAAGGGGGAACAGGCAATTCCATCGACTCAGCAACTGGACTTGGTTGATTCAATGAATCATTCGTCTCCATGAGCATTCAGATTCGATTCATTTCTAAGCGTAACCAGTAGCAATCCTACCAGTTACTGTCAGTGTTGCCACGCCACCTCTCAAGTGACGCACTGGTGGCTAGTAGATTTGGCAGGTATTATTTCTAGTAGAAGCGGCACAAACAAGCTTTGTAGCTACTCATGGTCCTTCAAGCACGAGCAATAGATTCGATTTGAGAGCGGGACGCAGGATCAAGTTGGATAAAGATTCGACGGTAGCCAGCTAGAATCAATTATCCAGTTAGAGAGGACGGCTCTTGCGACAATGGATGGTTGTCTGTTGGATGTTGCCTTGGCCTTCAAATAGACTACATGTATGCCATACTACATGTTGTAAATGCGAGAGCCCCTTCTAAAAGCGCCGAGATGCGCGATTACAAAGATTTTTCATCCGTGGATACAGGTACATGTTCCCTGAGTGACGAGTCAGTCATGAGTGATACGATCTGCATCAACCAGCACACCCCATGGCCACAACCCGCAACAAAAACACTGTAGTGGTACCGCTTTCAAGGGGCGTTTTAGTTAGAGCAGGTGTCTCGTCTCTGCTAATGCAGACCGCTCGGATGCTACTACTGGAGTATCCGCTGGCAACAGTTATAGCCAGAGAAAGCCCAGCCATTTTGCGTTGATACCGTGCTTCCTCCATGACTTCTGATTCCCGTCATGCCGAGGCTGCGGAAATTGCCTGCATGGCTGATTTTACGGGATTGACCGCTGGTTACGATCACACGTCGACTTTGTACTTTGATGATAGTTATTCTGGTGAATGGTGCGAGTCGTCCCGGTCCCACCGTACCAAATGGTTCGCTATGGATGAGCCAGTGTTTTGTCGATACACCAGCGATACAGAGTGTGAAAAACACCTTGGCGGGATTAGAGGTATCACAAGGAATTCTGCAGGCACCAAAATTGATAGAGAAGATGGAGCCAATTCCATATCCATTCCTGATGGAGCGGAACGTGGTATCACCCTAAGGCAACTAAGGGCCGTCAAAGCCAATGCGGACAGACGCTGCCTAGAAGAAGAATGGAAAGATCGGAACGGCAATCCACTGATTCCAGATACTGTCACCATGTACGATATTTGCCGTTATGTCATCCTGCCCTTTACTGTCCACACAAGAAGATCATTTGTGGAGAGCTTGCCCTCCACGGCTGGGACTCAGCCTCCGCTATACTTCGTCAGCCATTGGTGAGTGAGTGAAGGAAGTTGCATGGTCCAAGACCTCAACCATGATCACATATCATGTTGATCACACTCTTCATTTTCCATTGTCTCTCCTAGGTGGGGCGAACCAACGAAGGACTTCATGGCTTGCGTTGAAAGACTTTTACAAGACAAGTGGATGAGTAGAGAGATTGGAATGACCGAGGATACCCCCATTTGGATCTGTGCCTACGCCAACAACCAGTGGCACCTCGAGGAAGCCATCACAGAGGATCCTGATGAATCCGCGTTCTCACGCGCCTTGGCTCTTGCCAATGGTCGAACCCTTACCATATTTGACAAGGATGGAGTTGTCTTCAGCCGCGTCTGGTGTATTTACGAAATCTATAGGACAATCGTGTTTGCTTCTGACTGCGACAACACGAATGTCCAACCTGATGCCAACCAAGATTGGGTTGTCCTCACCTCAGTTCCTCACACGGAAATCGTGAAGTATACTCCAACGAAACGGACATCGAGAGGAGCAGCCAACATTGGAGAGTACTTTCCCTTTGACATGGTCATGAAAGCGCTGCAGGTTCGGGTGGAACTGGCCGAAGCATCCGAGGAATCCGACCGCATCCATATCTTCAATGCCATTATTGGCAAGAAGGACAACCTAGATGCACAACCACCGGGTGCACATGAAATGTACGATAAACTCAACAATGAAGTTCGCGCCACATTCGCGTCCCAGGGGGTGTTGCAATCTGCCGCAGAGAGGAGTGACGAGGAATGGAACACTGTGATAGCAGCCCTGTCCAAGGGATCCAGACAAACACGTATGCGCTTCGACTTTGACACAAACCGGTGGAAGGGCTTGGTTGATAAGCCCGAGAGAGCTGGAATGTTGATGCGAAGTCTTCCATTGTCTCTGGCATCTCTGTCTCTTTCGAATTCCTCCTTGGGATTGTCACTGATTGAGGGTCTGGCAGATTGGATCAGAAGGTCGACGCGACTGCAGGAGATCCATTTAAACGATATTTCCTCTTCGGGGGGCTTGCCAGGTGAACTTCTGGCCAAGGCACTTGCAAGCTGTACTACCATCACGGAAATCCACGTAGAGAATACTGATCTGTTGCAATCAGAAAACCTTCATCACTGGGCCCATCTGCTAGCAGCAACCAAATCCCTGAAGAGCTTCTGCATATGGGAGCGGGACTGCGGCAAGGACGAAGTCGGCTGGGGGGACGAAGTCGGGAAGGTCTTGGCTAGAGGCATTGCAGCAAACACATCGCTTAACAAAATTAAGTTGTCATGGTGGAAACGAGTGCTTGGAACGGAAGCCAGAAAGGAGCTGTTTTGTGCCCTTTTGAAGAATCCATGTTTCTCTTCAGTGAACGCCAAGCAATGCGAGTGGGAGCTACAAGAAGAAAATTTGAACATCGGAAGAGATCGCTTCTCACAGTTTTCGAAGGTACTAGTACCAGTGTTTCGCTTCACCTTACCGATGGTACAAGCACTAAGCCAACGAATCAAAAACTCCAAAACACTAAAGAGGATTTCGATTACAGATATTCAAGTGGACTGTGAGGTGGCGGGTGGAGCTGGGGAGTGTTTAGCTCAAGCATTGGGATCCAGCACAACGCTTTTCAAGGTTATGCTTTCCACCAATATGATTACATTGGAAAATGCAAGGAATTGGACTGACTTCTTGGCAACAGCATCGTCTTTGAAGGTGTTTGAATGCTGGAATTGTGATGGTCCGCCGTTGGGAGACGGTGGGATGAAAATACTCTGTGAAGGTATCAGCAAGAACACTTCTCTCAAAAAAATTGAACTACATGATCATGGCGTTGGGAAAGAAGGCGTTGTTGCATTGGGTGCAGCCTTGATGCAGAACCTGAGCGTTGAGGAGGTGACAATATATGAAAAGACCATAGACGAGGGAGTTGCCGACAACTTGAGGACAGCGTTGTTGGAGGCCGTCAAAGAACGAGGAACCGAGCTTCGCAGGTTGTACATCAGAAACCTGTGAAACAATCTACATGTCAAGACGATTCATGCTTACACAATACCTCTTTATACCCCCAAACGGTTACAGGATGGCCCTACCGGTAGCTAGCAAGAGGCCATCACATACCATTTATTTTCAAATCTGATTATAGAACTTAATCCCCCCGGGGCTTTCTAATTCTTTTTTTAAAAGTTAACAACTGCACATCAGAAACCTGTGAAGCTGATGATCCCAAACCCCAAACGGGTGTGTGAGACGTGCAAGCGTCCTCGGAATCTGAGTAAAGATCCGTCCACCATCCACGATAGGCAAGATGACCGTGCAATGTGCGGGTACCGGTACATGTACCTCGTACCGGTACCGTCCGAGACGGAGTGGAGGCACCACGCCTCATTAACTCATTAACCTGAACACCCACCAACCAGCTATTATCTGAATCAACACCAACAATCAACAGATGAGTCCCCAATGCCAAAAGAGGAATCTTCCATTCCAAGAAAACAAGGCCGACCAACCCGACGCGAAGAAACCCAAGCGATGTCTCCTTTCCTTGATTGACGACGACGTCTTTCGCAACGTCCTTCTTCCATACCTTCCTTCCAATAAATTGGATCGTTGCGTGCAGTGCAGCGACTTGATTTCCGCCAAGGAAGAGTGTCGCGTCTGTCAAGAGCCCATCTGTGCGGAATGTCAAGACCCCAAGGATCATTCGTGTTCTGACTGGTATCTCCGGTGCGTTCAGTGCAACAAAGCGGACGATCCTGATCAAATGCACCATTGTCCATGCTGTAACGGATACTCTTGCCGGGACTGTGCGCCCGTGACATGCATCACCTGCCACAAAAAGTTCCTTCAAGATTGTTGCTCGAGTGGTGACTTTTGTGGCCGTTGCGAAGCGGCCTACCAATGCGGTGATTGTGCCAAGAGCGAGTTTCGGTTGCTCTATGAGTGTGCTGGCTGTGGTGAAACTGCTTGTAGCGACTGTATTGGAGAAGCTCATCATTGCGATGCCAAGGCGGAGTTTTTCTGCTCGGAGTGTGATCCCTGCGACTGTTGCGTGGGATTTGGTCCCTCATCGGATATGCGAGATCCTCGGTTGAGGGGGTGGTGTGTTGGCTTCTGTCCTGACCACTTTGCAGCATGCTGCGGGAGAGCGTCCGGATACGAATACTACGGGTTGGGCAGGACTGGATAAAACTAGGGTAGCTGTTGCTCCGGCAGGATTGGCCTGATTCATTTGCGAGTAGCGTGCGCTGACGGGACACACACGCGGGAGCTAGTTCTATTACTATTTTATTGGGCCATCAGCTAATGAGCCGACACGAAGCTCACTTTGTCGGAGGTACTGCGCCAGCGGTCCGCTGGCTGTGAATGTGTTTGGAATGTAATTTCCGGTACGAAGCCTGCCCATGTTCAACGAGATGTCTGTTTACTAGCTACCTACACATCCTACAGACGGCCGTGGCTGCTTTTCAGGACTACGCGGACCGCACGTACAACTTAGTTAGTTAGTTAGTTAGTCTCCTCTCTCACCTGCAACAAATAGAGAGCCGATATTTGCTGACCCGCTTTGGTCGCTGGCACTTGGTTATTGATGGCCAAAAAGCCGGCTACATCATCATATTCCACATAGCCTCGTTCCACTCCTCCCATAAAGGCAAAAATGAGCTGTGTTTCAATCAACCCAGCACTGGATATTTCCACCCCTTCGGATGCACAAATCTCATTCTTGGTGTCCAGGAGATCTTGATAGACCAATTGGCCATCATTCAGATCGGCCCGCGCTAACAAGTTGCCCAGAGTACTCTCTAACCGATCGGTGGAAACTCCATTTTCACCATTCTCAAAGGTGAATCCACACTCGTGCGACACAGGAGGTGCATCCCACAGTCGTTCCAAGTCGACAGTGCTGGGTCGGAATGGATTGAGTTTGGAAAATGAGAATGCTTCGGTAAACCACTGGCCGGCACTAACGGCATCAATGACGGGTCCACAGGCGGTGGTGGTGTCACATCCAAAATCATCGGCAGCTTGTTTCAAGTCCCCCGTTGGAATGACGGGTGCTCCCGTGTCATCCTTGAACTCATCGAGTCTTCCGGATCGCTCTAGCATTCGCAAGAATGGACAGAGAATGGCTGGATTGCCCTCTCGTTCGGTTGTGTTGAGCGCTGGATAGGCGGCCAACAGCTCTACACTGGTGGGAGTATCATAATCCGCGTCAAATATACCACCCTGAACTACTGGCACGTGTGACAATAACAAGGCAACGCCAAGGACGACAATCCAACAACAATACGCAGCAAGCTTCATTTTTCTTTTGAAGTCGGATGTAATTTTTACCGACCGGCTAGCTAGAGTTGTGTCCGCTGTGATGGACAATGGATTGTTGTGGTCGATCGTGTGAGTTGTTGAGTTTGGCGATGACTCAAAAGCGAAGTTTGTGTTCCGAATGGGTTCCGCCATGCTTCATTCCCGCGCATAAGGAGTGGGATAGCGAAATAAAAGACTCGGGACTCGTTTACTCCACAACTAACTTCATTACAGCTTCAGATGGGTAGTTGAGGTACTGGTATATGAACCTAAAAGTCAGTTCTATAAACAAATTATTTTACCGCATCTACCTGAAGTCCATCCTTTTTTCTAGCTAGGTTGAAGTTCGTCACGGCTTTCCGTCTTGGGCTTCTCAAAAACCAAGGAACAGATCGTCGTTCTTCATCATTCATTTTTTGGTGGTCGCAGAGGAAGGCAGCGCTTGCCAGCCATTGCATTGTAGTTGTCGATCTGACAAATGCTATAGTACTGTGAAGATGGCCAGCACTACCTGTCGAGTCCTGCTACAAGTCCGAGCTCGACAGCCGGGTGGAATGGCACTTGCATCGCCTCATCTTTCTTTGAGCACTAGTACCACACGGTCCCTGCACACATTGTCAAGTACGTCGTTTCCACGAGGTTCTGCTCTTGCGATTCGTGGTGGTCCAAGAGCATGTCTGCAACTTCATCAGCAACAGCACATACAGAAGAGAACCTATTTGTTTTGGCCGAGCGATTGGTCGGAAGTGAGATACCGCTGGAATTTGTTTTGGAACAACAAGAATGGTGAAAGAAGTCCCACGCAGATTCGAATTCGCCTGCAAGATCGGTACCAATTGGAACGCACCAAGTTGCACGATCGCTATCACGTCCAAACGACCAAGATGAAGCTGCGATACCAACAGCAATTGGATCAACTCAAGCAGCAGTATTACAATTCCAGTGTCCAAAATCGATATCAAACCGAAAAATTTCGATTGGCAGCCACGTATCGACGACAAACCAAAAAGTTGCAAAAACGATATCGATTGGAACGAGACAAATTTCAACGGCGTCTGGATGAGCGGAAACAATTCTTACAACAGCAACAACACTTGCAACAACATGAACACAAAGATCATGCCACAACATCACTAGTATCCGCCTACTATCAGAGTCGCCGTCTGCTGTTTCAACAAAAACGACGAGAATTCGTCAAACGATGGTCCGCACGACGTAAGGACATGATGGCAGATTCGAGCAACCGAATTCGTCATTACTACAAGTTATTTCCCGTCACGGAATACTGTGAAACGGACTGGTTTGATGCCGTCGATGGACGACCTCTTACGTCAAGAGATCCTTCGGGACGATTTGTCAATCCGTGGATGAGTTGGTCCACCAATGGCGTGCATTCTGTTTCCAATTTGGTGGCGTGGCGGTATCAACGGGCCGTGCGACAATGGCACGAACGAGGAATGGCCAGCTTTTTCCCCAAGGATTTGATGCAACTCTTGTTTGGAGCGGCAGTGGCGACCAATACCACCATCACAACAAGTGATAAGACTGGCACACAACAACAAACAAAGGATGATGAATCTGCACCCGATGAACCAACTGCTACAGCAACATCAGCAACAACAACTCACTTGGACAATGACAATGATACCAATCATACCAGCCATGATCCCCACGAAATTCACTTGACATGGATTGGGCACAGCACGTGTCTTATTCGCATGGGGCATGCCACCATTCTCACCGATCCTATTTTCAGTCATCGATGTTCCCCTTTGCCTCGTATGCCTGGAGTGGGCGTCGCAAGAGATATTCCACCCAGTTTGACTATTGCAGAATTGCCCGACACTATTGATGTCTGTCTTATTAGTCACGATCATTTTGATCATCTCGATCAGCTATCCATTCTGCATCTTCGCGATCGTGTACACCATTGGGTATTGCCCACGGGGTTGCCGCAATGGCTCGAAACCAGGTGTAGTGTGGATCCCAAACAAATGACCGAATTGGAATGGTGGCAATCGGTGCATTTTTCATTACAACCACAACAAGAAGAGGATGATGATGAAGGAACCACACCATTTTCGTGGAAAGTGATGTCCTCTGCTGACACCAACAACGACAATGACAACAGCAATGACAACAATCAAGAATCCTCGACAATGACCATCACCTGCTGTCCAGCCCAACATTGGAGCAGTCGCACATTCTTTGATCGATGCAAACGGTTGTGGTGTGGGTTTGCTGTGGAAACCAGAACAACAACGACAAATAATCAGAACAAGTCATCATCAGAGCAACAACAACAACAACAACAACAACAACAACAACAACAACAAGAAGAACACTCACCGGCTGTCGTTGTTCAAAAGTTCTTTTTTGCAGGTGATACCGGCATGCCACGCAATGGGTTTCCACTCTTTCAACAAATTGGAGAGTTTTGTGCAAGGGGGTTGTATCATCATCATGATCAGCATCAGCAACATCAGGATTCTTCAAGGATCACGAGCAGGAGCAACAACAATCATGATGAAGTGGAAGCAACCACCTTTCATCCATTTGACTTGGCAGCCATTCCAATTGGAGCCTACGATCCTTCGTTTCTGATGCAAGATGCGCACATGAATCCAGAGGAAGCTCTGCAATGTGCCAAGCAGCTACAAGCACGCAAAGCTGTATCCATCCACTGGGGTACCTTTGCCCTGTCGGAAGAGCCCATGGATGAACCACCCAAAAAGCTGCAACAAGCCCTGCAACAATCATCATCAACAGGAGACGACGACGACGATGACTATGACTATTATGAATTTGAGTGTTTGCCCATTGGAGGGTCCATGAGCGTTCCCTCTGTGGCAACCACCACCGACAAGGGTATTTCTATGGGAGATGAAAACGAGTATGATGAGGATGAACAAATGATGCAATCTTGAGGACAAACGACCTAGCTAGCTAGATAGCTCCGACGTGTAAAACTATAGAACTGCTACATTTGGAAAGATACAGCCTGCTTTTCATACAAGGAGGCAGGAACTAGGCGTCTGTGGTCCTTTTCGATTTCAGGTTGTCAGGTTGATTGAGATTCGTTCCTCTGGTGACCAGTTTTAATGCTCAAAGCGCACTTGATGTACAAGATCGGGTGGCCTTCATCAGTAAAGTGCAATTGCTTTGAACCTGGCATAGTTTTCGATTTCCCGGTGACTAGTAGCTAGGTACTGTAATTGTGACGCCAACGGCAGCAAGTTGTCAAATTGAAGCAAGGATCACTACAATTTGCCTGGCTCTTTGATAATTCAGAGGATGAAGCTGTATTTAAAACCTGCAGGTACCAGGGCCCGACAATGAAGCTGTTCTTTCATGGAACCTTGCCACGCAATCAGCCACGGCAGCCAAGCAGCAAGAATTGCAGGCTGGAACCCGATGTCCGAACCGCCAACAGTGGGCGGGGCCAATGAGATGGCGTCTTCTCGTTGCCAGCCTACTCGACTAATTGTTATCTTACAAAACCATAGAAACCAAAAATTACTACATTGTCCACACATACAATCTGGAAGAGAATTGAGGCCACCGAATTCGAAGGAGGCTACTTTTATACTGTACGGTTAGAATTCCAAGCTCGTAGTTAGCTAGTAGCACATTCCGTTCACAGCTCGTCCGATACAATGCCCTAACACATGTCCCGGAAAGCACGCTGTGGCGTTATGCGCTGGTTAAGCTCGCATCTGGATTTATGCGAGAGATGTGTTGTAGCAAGCTTGCAACCCCTCATTTTTCGTCGAGCATGCTTCAAGTAGCCGACAGTAGCAAAGATACACACAAGCATGACTGGAATTTCGTCCAGGGTATCTTACAGCCTTGCCGTAGAGCTTCCGTAGGCAATCTACGGAAGCGTGACATGAACTTTTGAAAAAATGGGTATCCGATTGATAACCGGGACGTTCGAATCAGCTCACAGTTTTTGTTCATCTTCGACTCTGGTCGTCATCAATACCTTTCTACCTTCTTGGTTTGACGGTCCCATAGAAAAGAGAAGAGAGGAACCAAAGGTAAGAAAGGCATCAGAGTGAGTTTGAAGCAGGGTGGTTGCGAGGCCATCCAGAGCTTGCAAGGATTGCGTTTGGTTTCGACGAAGGCGATGGTTACGGCGAAATACGTTGCTTTTGGTAGAAGGCTAACGAAATCGATACCATGGGAAGATAGATGTCTGATGACGAGGGAGAAGGGGGTGGAGTGGACGAGAAAGAGGCAAACTCTCTTGGCCATTTCATACGAAGCCTCTTGTCCCACGCCTCTTACTCTGGATGCGAAGAACCTATCTGGTGATGTGTCGACAGGATCCAAAAGGAGGAAGGGACTTGCTCAGGAACAGCCAGGCAGTGACACGGGCAATTGACCTAGAGCGAAATACTACCGCTGAGGTTCGAATGTATGTCTGCAAGCGAAGAATTTGAAGGGGACACACCGTGTCTTGGGTGAATCGAATGGATGCAGGGCTACTTGCTATCCTTGGTATATCTGAAGAGGCTGATTTCTACCTGATCTGGAGTGACTCGACTCCACCAGAGCTTCTTGAGACTCCTGTTTGCACCCCTTCTACGTTTAGACTGTCATTCTAACACCGTTTTTTTTCTTCTCTTGCAATGAAGTTCCAGTGTCACCATGAATATGCTTGTGAAAGTTTGCCTCTTTTTGATGGCCGCCGTGGCCTTGACCCACCACAATCAGGTTTCTGCTCAGATTGATTGTGCTGGAATGAATGCCTTGTCAGAATGTATGCGCCCCGGAGATACCACCAATGCCACTGGGCAGTTTATTTGTCGCCGTCGTTACAACCCCGGTCTTGGACAGGTCACGCACCAAACCCTTTGTATTGCCACATCCTGGGGATCAAGCTCGGATCGTTGTGGGTGCTGTGCCACTGGATGCCCCACGTCCTGCAGCGAGCTTTGCCCCTTTGCTCCCGGACAGGGACCTCCCTATGGTCGCTGGGTCTATGATTGGGAGTCCATTACCCCATACCGCATGTGTGTCACTCCCGGACGATCCTTGCAGTTGCAGCAGCAAAATGGAAACCGTTGGAGGTGCCGTCAAAGGAACAACTGGTTCAGCCGTACGTTTTATGGAGAAGAACCCAAATGGAATTCGAAAGGCACTGCTGACTTCTGGCCCTAGTTAGTTAGCCCCGCCCAGAGAGTTTATGAGAGAGACTTGCATGTTGCTGCTGAAGGGAATCATGACTAAGACTTGTGCTGGCAGCTGTCGAAGAACCGTGTCGAGTTTGTATTGGAGTGACACTATTGTTTGGAGTTTATGGATGGAACAAGGATGGTTGGTTACCTGCTAGGTCAGCGGAGGCGTGACAACCCAACCTTTTCAAAAGATTGTTGTGGTGCATTTATTTGAAGACACACTAGTAGTGCATCCTTTTGATTTAGTAAAAATGTAGAGACTACTAGCTAGTACCGTATGCTGTCGAGCCTCTCGTGGAAGCAGCAAAATGTAGCTACTGGTCGTTAGTAAAGGCTGCCAATTTTGTGCATTGACCCACGAAGTTGCGTCCTTTTCGATGCATAGCATGCATGTTTCGGAATGCAGCTGCAGCATCTGGGAAGTGCCACGGGTTTGTGATCGAGTTTGCGGGACGAGGCTCTGGCATCACCCCAACCCAGTTTCAGTGAGATTTCTCGTGGCAGCTACATGTAGCTCAAAGGAAGTTTCCAACCAGAACCAGAATCGGCTAAGACAGAATTGCCCAAATGACAACATGCCAAGGGGCAAGTGCTATTGATAGTGGTACGTCTACACATGGAAGGTAAGCAGATTGCGTCATAACTAGATCTAACTGCTGCTCGCTGGTAGCAAGCTTTATGTCTCTCTTTTGAATATGCATACTTTCTTTCTGGCCATGTTGTAGGCTTCAACCCTCCACCTCCGCTCATCGTCGTTTTTCTTTCATTGTTCACATTCACACAGAATCTCACAATCCTTTTTCCTCTCTCTACCCAGCAGTAGTACATCCAAAGCCAACCATGTTCCTTTTCGCAAGCATTAACTTGTTCAAGTTCGAACGGTTGAGAGTCATCCACACACAGATCAATCATGCGATCGATCCATGTGTCCACCTGGCATCAACTCCATATCTCAGCAAGATAATTTAAAATCTTCTTGGCTCCCGCACACGGTCTAGCTTCTTCGTCTACCCAATCATTGTTTCTTTCGTTCCGTTTCTCCAGCGTCGTTTCCTTCGTTTCGCCGCCATCAATCTAACATCTTAGGGCGTGGTCTCACCCGATGCAATGTCTCCCAGGGGATTAATGACATTTTCCATGTTTTCAAGGTACAACTGTTGTCCGTGTTCCTTGTACTTTTCACTCATTTCCGCCATGCCCTGTTCCACGGCCTGTTCGACGCCGTATCCATTCTCGGCGGCGTATTGACGCACATCTTCGGTAATCTTCATACTGCAGAATTTGGGTCCGCACATGCTGCAAAAGTGACTGGTCTTGCTGGCATCATTGTCCAATGTTTCATCGTGAAAGGCACGTGCCGTGACGGGGTCCAAACTCAGATTGAACTGATCGTTCCAACGGAATTCAAAGCGAGCCTTGGAGAGGGCATCGTCACGATCTTGTGCCCTGTCGAGACCCTTGGCAAGATCGGCCGCATGAGCGGCAATCTTGTAGGCAATAATTCCGGCCTTGACATCGTCACGATTGGGGAGTCCCAAATGTTCCTTGGGTGTCACATAACAGAGCATGGCCGTGCCGAGTGCAGCAATGTTGGCGGCACCAATGGCACTGGTAATGTGATCATAACCGGGCGCGATATCGGTCGTGAGAGGCCCCAATGTGTAAAAGGGTGCCTCCATACACCAGTCCAACTGTTTGCGCATATTTTCGGGGATTTTATGAAGCGGGACATGTCCCGGTCCTTCGTTCATGACTTGGACGTCCTTTTCCCATGCGCGTCGGGTCAATTCTCCTTGTGTTTTGAGTTCGGCAAACTGTGCTTCGTCATTGGCATCGTAGATAGATCCAGGTCGTAGTCCATCTCCAATGGAGAGTGCGATATCGTACTGATTACAGATATCGAGAATATCATCCCAATGTTCATAGGCAAAGTTTTGTTTGTGATGAAAGATATTCCACTTGGCATGAATGGATCCACCTCGCGAGACAATACCGGTTTTGCGCGATACGGTCATGGGGACGTACTGCAAGAGCACACCGGCATGAATGGTCCAGTAATCAACTCCCTGTTCGGCTTGTTCAATGAGTGTTTCACGGAAGGCTTCCCATGTGAGATCTTCGGCAATGCCATCGACCTTTTCGAGTGCTTGGTAGATGGGGACCTGAACAAATAATAATCAATAACAAGGAGAGGCGTGAGTGAGTAAGATTGAATAACAAACAAAGAAGGCATATCCCTCCATTCAGTGTTATACGTACCGTTCCAACAGGAATGGGCGAATTGCGCATGATCCATTCTCGTGTTTCATGAATGTGCTTTCCGGTACTCAAATCCATGAGGGTATCTCCACCCCAAAGAATACTCCATTGCAACTTTTCGACTTCCTCTTCTATGGACGACGTAATAGCGGAGTTACCAATATTGGCATTGATTTTGACCTTGAACATGCGTCCAATAATTTGCGGCTCGAGTTCCAAATGATTCTTGTTGGAACAGATAATGGCCCGACCGCGAGCGACTTCGGATCTCACAAATTCGGCATTGACGTTTTCACGGGCTGCCACATAGAGCATTTCTTCGGTAATGATTCCTTGTCGGGCAAAGTACATTTGGGTCATGCGCGGATGTCCTGCGGCTTCGCGTTTTTCAATCCATTCTTTGCGCAACTTGGGAGCACCTTGATGAGGATCCACTCCGGGTGGTCCGGACGTATCGTACAAATCCAAGTACGGTTGATCGGGATCTTCGAGATGGACGCGACGAAAGGGAATGTTCAGGACATGCCCAGTCGACGGATGAACGACGGTCTTGTATTCCTTGGTGGACGAGGGAAAGGCTTCGTGGTAGGGGACACTGGCAATGCGACCAAAGTCGGGGTTAAAGGGATCCGCGGTGGGTTTGGTACGACGAGTGGGTTTGATATTGGCTTCTCGTGTCACCATGTTCTCCAAGGACTCGACCGTCTGTTGGGCGACGCGGGCGTCAATGGCATCCATCTTGGCTTGTTGGGCTGCCGCAAAGGCTTCTTGGTCGGTAGTATCACTGCCACTGTTGGTAAGTCCACTGAGATAATCACTGCCGCCAAACATTTTCAAGGAAGAAACGACATGGCGGTGAGACGAGGGAATCACAAACCCATGAGCCACAGAGACGGCAAATACTGCCAAGCAAGAAATCTTCATTGTCAAGATAAATTTATTAAAAGATCAAGATCAAGTCAAGGTGTTGAGCTGATATATTTGAAATGAAAATTGTGAGCCTTTTATCTATCTTGCTTTCATTGGCATTTCCCTCGATCTTTGCTTGGGGAGGGTTGTCAGAGGTCAAGAGTTGATGGCTCCGGATGATCCACGGCTTTTTGGATCTTTCAATAGCGCAAGCTGCCGATTTGCAGAATGCTTTTAGCTTTTTTAGCGTCAGGTATTTCGGAACCTGTGACAAGGATTCATAAGTAAAAAGAGAATCTGGATACCAAAATACACCAGTGAGACAAGGGCATCTTAGGATCGCTGACGTCAAACTTCAAGTACGTCAGAAGATGTCAGATCCAGTGCAACCCTTTTTTGTGGGGTATCTGAAAGCTGAAAGATATCGGAACAGTAGATCTGTGCAGGGATAGATGCTCGATGATGAGCATTGGGATTGGATTGAATTCGATTGATTCGCAACCAACCTCTAACCTCCGTTCCCAAGTCGACGCCTTGGTCTTGGTCCATCAAAAGGATCCAAAGATAGCTAGCTACTAGCTAGTAGATAGAGGGTGCCTCTCATTTTCGTTTTTATTCAAAGCGACACTCTTCCACCATGGTGCCTAATATCAATCCAAAGAATCAACAGCCGGGGGTAACATCGTCTCTGGGATTGTTTGCTTCGGTCAGTCCGTCCAAGTTGTCTTCGTACCAGTATACTAATAATAATGGTTCTACCACTGCCAATGCCAGACAGAGATCGACTGCCAAACTACAAACTGACAATGAAGATTCATCCACTACTAGTACTAGTTCAAGTGCAAGTACTACATGCACAACTACTTCTACCACACTGTTTTGTGAAAAGACCAATGAAAACATCTCATCAGGTCAACCACCTCCACCAGCTGTAACCAATGTTAACGTTAACGTGAACCAAGAAGGAGTACCACTCGTCACGAAGCTTCAGACTTCCCCAATTGACACAACACCAGGACTTGCAGGGGCCAGTAAGTGCAGTGCAACTAATAACTATGTGTCATGCTACCCCTTTGAACTGAACAATGATACCTCTTTTTCTCACCTCACACTTTCAATGTATCTATCCCTTTCTTTTTGTATTTTCTATAGTCGCCCCCACGGCATTGCTGGTGGGTGGTACGGCGGCCATGTACCATTCGCTCTTGCATCATCCCAGTTCCACATTGACGCCACTCTCTATACTCTACATGCTACTATTGGCCATTCAAACCAGTGTACAGCCACGACTCTCCAAAAAGTACATTTCCAAACAAGTCCCCAAAGTCAAAGTGGCACTGGTAGAAGAAGTTATTAAAACCAGTGTCGCCACACTGCTCTTCTTCCAATGGACCGATCCACTCGTCGTTAAAGACGCCGTCCAAGATTGGACACTCTCGTCGTCGTTATTGGTGGCGGGGGTCCCGGCCACGCTGTATGCGGTCCAAGCCGTCCTAACGTATTTATCGCATCAACATTTGGATTCCGTCACGTTTAATGGATTGTCACAAACCAAGACGCTCACGGCGGCATTTTGCTGTTATTTGGTCATGGGCAAGAAACAATCGCCGCTCCAAATTGTTGCATTGGCCATGTTATTCGTGTCCGCCATGGTCTTTCAAAGTAGTGGCATGGGATTTAACTTGACACGGTTGGGACGAAACAAATCAGCAGCAGCAACAGCACCCGACAAAACCACCAACGAACAAGACACTACAACACCAACCACAAAAAGCCAACAACTACCAGCAATTGCAGCAGCATCCCCCTTTTTGTGGTACGGTGTGGTCCCCTGTTTGGGAGCCACTTTCTTGTCCGGGTTGGCGGGAGCATTTTCCCAACGAGGGTTACAAATTGTGGGAGGAAATGGACGCAATGCGTTCTTGTACACGGTGGAAGTTTCCTTCTTTTCCGCTCTTACGTTATTTATCACGCAGGGATTCTCCATGCTCATGACACTAATGAAGAAGCAACAACCAAAACAGCAACAACAACTCGACAATGACGGCAAGAAGGAAACCGACAGCAATCACAACTGGACATGGCAAGCACTCATTCCCATTACCAGCAAAGCCATGGGAGGAATTCTCACGGCATTGGTGCACAAACATGCCGGATCCGTCGTCAAGGGGTTTGCACTCATGCTTGGATTGGTCATGAGTGGGATTTTACAATCACTTTGGTTTGGAAGCAACGATGATGACAAGGGCCCCACGGGACGCCTTCCCGCCAATCAAGTGGTAGGCATTCTCATTGTCATGTTGGCCAGTTGGCTTCATGTCACAAATCCACCAGTATAAGTAAGGAAGTGATCAAGTAGAAAGCACGAGAGCCCCGGGAATGATACAAACAAGACAAATGGGCATATGGTGGCAGGCAATTCACCCTCTAGAGAGAAATCGGTCTTGTTTTTGAAAGTTTTGACCGAAGAAATGTATGCCGATACGGGCAAAACCACAGATGGAACGGCCAAGGCTAAATGGTTTAACGCGGCCAAGGCGACACCATTTTCCAATACCGAGTAGAATTAATTATGCATAACTGAATCGTTCAATCCTATTGTTACAGCCGTGGACTGAGTGAGTCACTCTGTTCGGTTTGCTTTGCACAACCACGGTCAGGGGAAGTTTAGCCCCAGCTAGCTACTTAGTAAGGACTTTGCGAGTGACCAAGTAAGTGTACGTAGACTTTGCGGCCTCAGCCATGGACGTTTTAGCTAGATCGATAGCTACTCTAGAGAACCTGATCCGCGGTCTAGCTGTTGCGCAACTAAAAGACGAGAAACGAGATCCGAATTACTGCAAGCGTGCAAGCCGCTTAAAACCGGCTTTCAACCAACCGCCGTGGAGCCACAGTCAATGCGTCAAAAACTTCGGCATCACCCTCTTGTCATTGCTACCGTATATAGGAACGTTCGATTGATACAGTAACATGGACCCGTCAGCCCTGTTTGCCGCTCTTGACAATCCAGTGCCCACCAGCACCTGGACAGTTTCCAAGAATCAGCCGCTGGAAATGGTGTTGATGGCCAAGACAGATTTGGACACCGTGAAAACCTTCTATGAATTCCACCCTGAAGCTTTGACCAAAGGTCTCTTCTGCAATGTCCTCAAATGTGGAGCCAAACCAGGCGTAGTTGGCTTTCTTGCCTCCAAATGCCCTGACCTGGTCAATGCAAAGGCTCTTTGCCTAGCAGTGGCTCAAGGACCGCGGCCTGATAGACCTACTGAGAGTGAAATCATGGCATTGGCCAATGTCAATCCCAAGGCGTTGGCGCCAAAAAGCCCAAACTATCATATGTCAAATTTTTTGCGGATTCTCATGCAATGGAAATACAGTCAAGAGTTGACCCAAAATCTCTTCAAAATGAGCGTACACAAAAAAGTCGTGTTACTTCTCGATTGGTCATTGCCTGATTATCATCTGCTCAGTTGGGTTGACTATAGTTCCAACATGAAACGGTCAGGAATTGACATGGCAGCAGTCTTGGGCATGACTCCAGTTCTGGACAGCAAGGATGTCAAACATTTGGTCAGTTGGGGCGTCGAATGGGATATGGATGCCTTCTCGGAATTTGTCCGCAGAGTCTTGTCCAACCAGAGTATTGAGATCTTACGACTGGAACTACCAAAACTCGGGCCAGATCGGCAAAAAGAATCTACAATGTTCACCACAGATACATTCAACCAGTTGATGCCAAAGTGCAAGATCAAGAAGATTCTCTTGAGGCTGGACCAGAACAATCCATTGATGGTCTCATTCATGGAGTCTTGTTTCGTTCGAATGCCCTGTCTTCAGTATTTGAACATATATGTTACCACTGATCTCAACAGTGTGGCACTGCCCATCAGCCACTATCTTTGCAGCGACCCGGCTTTGGAGCGGATGACAATTCGAGCAACAAGTGACAAAACAGCACTGGGACTCGATCTGATCCTCAATGCTCTGACAACGAATCAGACTCTTGAACGGTTTCACTATTATCGAGATGGTGTCCAGACAGACAAATTCCAAAGATACCACAATATGCTGGCTGGAATTCTCCAGGAGTCCAATACTACACTTTGTGAAGCCCGCTTCTGTGATGGCTGCACTAAAACGAATCCAGTTGGCATTTTCCGCAGTCCTCTCCATCCCAGCCAACACCTGCTGCCCTTCTACACACATCTCAATCGGCTGGGGCGCAAGAAAGTATATGATCCAGCAACCACAAAAGCGGACTTTGTGAAGCTGCTTGTGACAGTCACCCAAGTGAAACTCTATGTTGACCGCAATGGTGAAGATCCTGCCACCAAGGATGATACTTTGAACATTGTCTATGGGCTTCTTCAGGAAAACCCAACCATCTGGAGTAATATTCATCATGATCCACCCAGCAGCCCGGAATGCAAGATGAGCCATCACTGCGGAAGCAAGCGAAAGTATAGCGCCATCTCCTAATGGTCCCGGCGGGTTGATATTCATTTGTTGCATTGCTGCTCAATCAAAGGTGGAAGGTTTCCAGGCACAGTTCCATGCACACAAAGATGGGAATGTTTATATTACGAGGAAACAAAAGCTAAGCGAACTCGCTAACTAACTAGTACCGGTATTCAAGAATCTATAGCTACGGTAGCTAGAAGCTAGAAGCTACAAGCAAGGCTGTCATTAGTCAAGTTTGATGTTTGAAATTTTGCACTGCTGCCCATGCAAGCAAGATGGAAGATTTGTAGGTACTGTACGTGCAGCTCTACCTGGACTACAGTTCCATCCATGCACACGAAGATGTGAGTGTTTATTACGGGGCTATTCGGTCTTGAAGAATCTCTAAAAGCTACCTAGCTACATGGCCGTCATTAGACTAGCTAGCTACATGTAGTCAACTCTATAAATGTTTGAAATTCTGTCCTCGCACTGGTGGCTGTTCGTCCCAATACTCGTGCCCCCCCCC